TAAAATGAAGTTGTTTAAAGTAAAATATTGACGCCGGACGGATGACGGATGACGGACGACAGATGCCACGCCACGGCATAAGCTAGATTCACCCTTCGGGCCAGGTGAGCTAAAAATCAGTCATTAATGGAACAAGAGAACCATAGGCCATAACGGTCACCGAGTTATGTAAAAACTGATGTTATCAATGCCAAATGAAAAAGAAATCATTTTGTAACAAGACACCAAGAGGGCCTGTATCGCTCACCTGAATATGTTTAAAATAATTGGTATGAAGTAAAGATATAACACTCAATGGTAGGTGCTGTAAGAACATATGAAATTTCAGAAAGATCCATCCAGTACTTGAGATATAGCGAGAACAAACTTCAAACAGAGCCCAACCCCTATGCCCCTAGGGAGGTCATACCCACCAATTATAAANTAAAATGAAGTTGTTTAAAGTAAAATATTGACGCCGGACGGATGATGGACGACAGATAGACGACAGATGCCACGCCACGGCATAAGCTAGATTTACCCTTCGGGCCAGGTGAGCTAAAAATCAGTCATTAATGGAACAAGAGAACCATAGGCCATAACGGTCACCAGAGTTATGTAAAAACTGATGTTATCAATGCCAAATGAAAGAGAAATCATTTTGTAACAAGACGCCCAGAGGGCCTGTATCGCTCACCTGAATATGTTTAAAATAATTGGTATGAAGTAAAGATATAACACTCAATGGTAGGTGCTGTAAGTACATATGAAATTTCAGAAAGATCCATCCAGTACTTGAGATAAAGCGAGAACAAACTTCAAACAGAGCCCAACCCCTATGCCCCAAGGGGGGTCATACCCACCAATTATAAAACNTACAAGTACAATATAGATGTGGTCAAAATAGACCAACAATCATACCTATTGTTTTTTGTAAATTTGCTCGATACAAATGATTACATCAGCCATTGTCACAATATTTTTTATCACTTATTTACATCATACCAAGTGATCGACACAGATCTATAAACATTAGGACATGCTCACACAACACACCTTTTGTCTGGTCTCCTTCTCCAGTTCTGGGTCGCTTGGTTTCTGATGGTCCTGTAAGTAAACCAATGAGGACATATCAATAGCAGAATGTCATGTCACAGGAATTATCAATGAACATGGAAACTTGGATCTCCAGACACATGTCAGAGAAGAAATAGAAACCACAGAGATTCAGAAGGACAGGGCAATCGGCAAAAAGGGGGTCTATCATTTAAAGACCAAGATATAAATATAGAAAATATGACACAAAAACGGTAGACTGATAGTCCCAGACACATGTCAGAGAAGAAATAGAAACCACAGAGATTCAGAAGGACAGGGCAATCGGCAAAAAGGGGGTCTATCATTTCAGGACCAAAATATAAATATAGAAAATATGACACAAAAACGGTAGACTGATAGTCCCATATGAAAGCAATCATAATGAAAGCCGGTAGAAAAAGATAAGAAATACAATATATCTCCTACATTTATTAGATCATTAAGACTGATATGAATATTGATGATATTAATAGTGTTTCATTCCTGTTTGTGTTCAAAACAAAGTGAAACTTAGCTTTCATACCAAACTGATGAATCGTATTCCGGATATTGTCATTTTCACGAAGATTAAACTGATAAACTTTTAATAAATATCCACGAGAAATGATGACGTCATCAAAAGTCAGTTTACTGACCAATGAGTAATGATGTCATCTTTATTATAAATATGATACAAGTTTTATCAACCTATGTTTAATCCCTCAGTTTAGAAGTAGTCGCAGCTAGGGAAAAGATAAATGACACGACACCAAACCTCATGTAGGGATGGGTTTTTTGTGAGACTTCAGGAAGATTTTGTCCCTTGAAAAGAACAGATCTGATTTTACTTGATTTTTCACATAACAAGTGGTGCCATAGAGACAAACTTTCACCGTTTGTTTTTATCTGTAAATTATCAGTTATATATATAATTTACAAACCTTTTGACTCGATATCTTTGATTTCGACAGATGTCTCTTGTATGATCTCAGCTGGTCTCACATCAATTGAGTTGATCACTTCATACAGCTTATCATAGGATCCAAGACTTATGGTTCCATTAGCCATCAGTTTATCACAAATCTTTATGAAATTGTTGTCTTTTCCATATAAATCTACAGGGTCTAAGAAATTTGACAGTAGCACCAGGAGATCATCCCAATTTTTAAGCGCTGGATCAAAGTGCTTGCTAAGACGTCTGACCATACAAGAGTGCTTGTATTTAATCTGCTGCTTCGGACTGTCAGCCGAGGATGTCTATATAGATGACAAGCAAACAGAGGGATTAATATTTGAAATATTACGGTATCCTGGGAAACTTTCATCCAATAAAGTTATGCGACACTCTTTTCCAATAAAACACATTTCCGTCTTTTGTTAATCCCTAACATGTAATTACTATATATTGTATCCTGTGCACAAACATTCACTGTCAAGATAAATTCATCGTGAAAGGCAAACAAGGTGAAAGTTTAACTGCTGTGAAAATTTCCCAGTAATTATAAGCAGTAGTCGTATTCATGACTATATTTTCCCTTTATCATCGACTTACAATTTTTTTATTACACATTTAGGAAAATTTGTCTCCTTCAGATAAATGTTGTTTCATATAGTTTCATACAGGAATGGACTAATTCTGTCTGAAAATTCCAACCAACCTAAACAAGAGAGCCTATTTAGCTCACCAGTGCATGGCAATGCATGCTAACAGTAGAGTCTTTACTGTTCCGTTGAAACAATAAAACAGATGTGAGGGCACTGGAAAATTTGTTCACAGTCATTAAGTGGACAAGTTTGATTTCAACAACCTAGCTTAAATTTTAGATGTTTTCATTTGACATATTGACCCCTGTGTACCATAAAGGATGTTATTGTCACTGTTTCTCAGAAAATATAGGTTCGTTAGCAGTTACACTTTGTACATTAATAATGCACCAGTTTGTTATATGTCCAGTATGGAATCCGGACCAGAGTCGTGATATATGGAAAGAGTTAATTCTCCTAAAAGATGTATACTGTCATATTTGCTCTGCACGAGACTTTTACAGAAGTAAACAAATAATATGCTCTCCCTTTAGCTCCGAACAAGATAATTAGTATATATATATATATATATACTTACGCTGGCTCGTTTTGACATTTTCACTCTGTTACTTTTTCACCTGAAATAGAAAATGTAGGAAGATGTCAAGTTTACTCTTTAGTTGACACTGAACTACTATAACGAAATGTATGTATCGGTGTTAACACAGAGCCAAGTAAACAGTGGAGTTGGTAGCCATCTTGTTTTCCAATCCGTTGCAAAATGAAACAATTACACAGCTACAAGGATCAAGGGAAACTTTGATATCATATATATATGGGAAAGATCCATCTAGTATTTTTAAATGAGAGGCCAAGATGGTCTGTATCGCTCACCTGGATGTGTTTTAAGTACTTGATATGAGGTAAAGATATAGCACTCCATGGTAGGTACTGTATGTACTTACAAAATTTCAGAAAGATCCATTTAGTATTTTTGGAGATATAGCAAGAACAAACTTCAAAAGCCAGGTGGCCGTCTTGATTTAATGAATACACCCTAATAATAACAGGCACTACTAGACAACTTGATGGATACAAAATTGGGATAAAATCCTGTAATCCCTACGGTAGAAGAGGGATTTAAAAGGTTTTACCTCTATTTCCCCTCTACACCCACCGTTTACACAAAATTGAGTCCCCTTGGACCAAGGATGCCAGACTAAATAAAGATAAAATGCCTTAATCCCTATGGTAGGAGGATTTTAAAAGGTAATATTACTGTGCTGAAAACGTGCTAAAATGTTATAATTATCTGGACAAGTGAGATTGCAATCCAGACGAGTACATTCCTGAACGTCACTTGCCCAGTGGACGAGTACTTTCCTGAAGGTCACTTGCCCTGAGGACGAGTACTTTCCTGAAGGTCACTAGCCCAGAGGACGAGTACTTTCAAAAGTTTTTCCCTGTCCCTGTAATCTGATGCTGCTTTCAGGCGAGCCTTGACAAAGCCTTGGAAGGCCTGCACAAACTTTTGCAGGTCTGTCAGGTTTTACACCCAAAATGTTACATTTAACAAGAGGCCCAGAGGGCCTGTATTGCTCACCTGTTTCTTTTGTAACACAAATTTGACATATATATAGGTAACTTCAGACCAAATTTGGTAACAAGAACACAAGACATTTTAACATCTTTTAAACAGTTCTAAAGATATTGTTGTCAGAAATTCGAAACTTTAATTTTAAAGCATTTAACCCATGCATGTTGACCTTTGACTTAGGACTTAAAGTTGACCTTTGACTTAATTACTGTGAAACGATTCACACAGCTGGTCTACATGTACATAACATACCCAATTATAATGAATTTAGACAAAATGGTTCATTAAGATATTATTGTTCTAAGTTTTTAACATATTTGACCCCTGTGACCTTGAAATTTAGCCCTTCATCCCAGCATGTTATTGGTCAATCATCAGCACCCTCGGCCTCCTGGGTATTCAGAAGAAGGTGTTTTAAGGTTTTAACATATTTGACCCCTGTGACCCTGACTTGAAGTCAAGGTCATTCATTTGAACAAACTTTGTAGCTCTTCATCCCAGCATGTTACTGGCCAATTATCATCATCCTAGGCCTCTTGGTTATTCAGAGGAAGTTGTTTCAAATTTTTACCATATTTGACCCCTGTGACCTTGAAGTAAGTGAAGGTCATTTATTTGAACAAACTTGGTAGCTCTTCATCCCAGTTTGCTTCTGGCCAAATATCATCACACTAGGCCTTGTGGTTATTAAAAAGAAGTTGTTTAAAGTAAAATATTGACGCCGGACGGATGACGGAAGACAGATAGACGACAGATGCCGCGCCACGGCATAACCTAGATTCACCCTTCGGGCCAGGTGAGCTAAAAATCAGTCATTAATGGAACAAGAGAACCATAGGCCATAACGGTCACCAGAGTTATGTAAAAACTGATGTTATCGATGCCAAATGAAAAAGAAATCATTTTGTAACAAGACGCCCAGAGGGCCTGTATCGCTCACCTGAATATGTTTAAAATAATTGGTATGAAGTAAAGATATAACACTCCATGGTAGGTGCTGTAATTATAAGTACATATGAAATTTCAGAAAGATCCATCCAGTACTTGAGATATAGCGAGAACAAACTTCAAACAGAGCCCCATCCCTATGCCCCTAGGGGGGTCATACCCACCAATTATACAAAAAATTGAGACCCCTTGGCCAAAGGATGTTCCAGACTAAATAAGGATAAAATCCATCAATCGAAATGGTCAAAGGATTTTAAAGGTTTTACCTCTATTTCTCCTATTGGGCCCCACCCTTCTGCCCCCTGGGAGACCACATCCACTGCTTATACAAAATTGAGTCCCCTTGGCCCAAGGATGCTCCAGACTAAATTAGGATAAAATCCCTTAATCCCTATGGTAGAAGAAGGATTTTAAAGGTTTTACCTCTATTTCCCCTACTGGGCCCC